GACTCTTCAAGTACACCAAAATGTCATCAATAAATACCACTACAAATTGATCCAAGTATTGCTTAAACACCCTATTCATGAGATCCACAAAGGCTGCTGGTGCATTAGTTAGCCCAAATGGCATCACAAAAAACTCATAATGTCCATAACGGGTACGAAAAGCAGTCTTAGGCACATCCTCCACCTTTATCTTCAACTGGTGGTAACCCGTTCGAAGGTCAATCTTCAAGAATACTTTAGCACCTCGTAGTTGGTCAAACAAATCATCAATGCGGGGGAGAGAAAACTTATTCTTGATGGTTACTTTGTTCAACTCCCTGTAATCAATGCAAAGTCTCATGCTTTCATCTTTTTTTTCACGAACAATACTAGTGCGCCCCATGGTGACACACTAGGCCGAATGAACCCCAAATCTAACAACTCTTGAAGTTGCACCTTCAATTCTCTAAGCTCCACTGGTGTCATACGATAAAGAGCCTTAGAGGTAGGATCGGTACCAGGTACCAGGTCAATAGCAAAATCAATCTCTCTATCAGGTGGCAACCCAGGTAGGACATCCGGGAATACTTCTGAAAATTCCCTTACTATTGGTATCTCCTCAAGAGACAACCCCTCATTTCTTGCTTCTATAATGTTAGCAATGTATCCCTGACAACATTTCCTCAACAATCTTTGAGCTTGTACTGCAGAGACAAGGTTGGGAAAAGAAATAATCCTTGTCCCCTCAAAACTAAATTTTGGATGATTAGGAGGATAAAACACAACTCTCTTTTCAAAACAATCAACTGTTGCATGATGCGCAAATAACCAGTCCATACCTAATATTACGTCAAAACCCTTAAGGTCTAAGAGTATTAAATCAACTAATAATTGATTATCCTCAATGTGGACCCTACACCCGGGGTACACGACATCTCCTAACTTAGAACCACTAGTGGGAGTAGTCACAATCAAATCAAACTCAAGTGCTTTGGGTTCAACAGCTAATCTCATTGCTACTCTAGGAGATACAAAAGAACGTGTAGACTTTGGATCAATAAGTACTTTAAATGCATGCTCACAAATAAGTAAAGTACCTGAGACTACAGAATTAGAATATTGTGGGCTCTTTGGTGTCATTGCATAGACTCTCCCAAACCTTTGTTCCTTTTGCTGCCCTTGTTTTTGTTGACCCTGTTTTGATGTACCATCTGTCTTAGCTGGGGGTTTGCCTACTAATCCCTGCACTGGTTGGGGACAAAACTTTGCAATGTGTCCTTGTTGGTTGCACTTGAAACATGTCACCTCCGTCTGTTCACTAGCTTGTTTGTTTCCAAGAGCACTCCAACAATTCTTTGCTGAGTGTCTTGACTTGCCACAATGGAAGCAAAGAAGTTGTTCCCAATTAATTCCATAGCACGGCTTGTCCCCATGGAATCTCCCACACTTCTGACACTTTTCTAGCTGTCTGCGCCCTGTTGCTCTGTAGATCTTGGTGCAAAAGACCCAGATGATGAAGTACTCTGCCTACTTTTCTTGAAATTTTGGAAACCACCCCTAGAGTCACCTCTTGAGCCTGTTCTCTTATTTTTTTCCCTTTCCCTGTCCCTTTCCTTTTCATTGCCCTCCAAAACTCGAGCCTTGCGAACAACCTCTTGATACGTTGGTAGTTCCAAGGCAATCAGTTTCTTCTTAATGCTCCACTTCAGACCTCTTTCAAACTTCCTTACTTTATGTCTCTCATCTGCTACCATGTGCATGACATGCCTTGCTAATTTTGTAAATTTCTCCTCATACTCACCAACTGTCATGCCTCCCTGAGCCAAATTCATAAACTCTTGTGCCAAACGATCCTTCTCTACCTGTGGAAAATATCTCTCCAAGAATCCAATCTTGAACTTCTCCCAAGTCATTAGAGTAGTCAGATATCTCTTCATTTCCTTTTCCATCCTCCACCAATGTTCAGCTTCATCTTTAAACATAAAGGCTGCATATGCCACTTTCTTACCGTCATCACACCTCGAGACCTCTAGAATTTTCTCAATATTCATAATCCAACTCTTTGCATTTGTAGGGGTAGTAGTCCCTGTGAAAGCAGGTGCCATCCTCCTAAACTCCTCAATGTTGAGTTCCTTCTGACCCTTCGGCCCTTCAAGGATCTTTGTGATTCCCTGCAAGACCTTCTCAATATCCCTATAGACATTCAGTGGTGGTTCATCATTTGCAAGCCCTGAAACGTCATTAGTGTTAGCCCTATAATTTGCAGCACCCTTACCTTTCTTTCTTGCAGCCATCTATACTTTCTACAAAATAAAAAAAAATAAACTAATTTGTCTTAGTCACCAATGCAATAATACTAGATAATAGTATCATCATTCCATATCTCTCAATCCAAATCAATTAAACCCTAAATAATTCTTAAGATTTAGCCTAATCCTCTGGTAATTCATAAACCTATGCTCTGATACCACTCTTGTCACACCCCTATCCCGGATCACATAGGGTGAGCAACAGACCGGCCACCAAGACCTTAACCAACCATCCCTGTGCATGATTAATACAAAATACAGTAGAAGACAAATAATAAAGTGATTTTTTTCACCGACCTAATGAATACCAGAGAAATAAACTAACATCACCGACATTATTACTAAACTCATGTAAAACAATAATTAATCCATAAGGTTCACTACTCTAAGCAAAAACAACATTGTTCTCAAAACAATCGAATACTTGTCTCAAAATTATAAAAAAAATATTTATTCCTGAAGACCTACAATAAAATAAATTTTCGATTCTTCTAATCCCTTGCCTATTCAAGGACTTACACCTCCTCTTGATCCTCACCTGAAAAATGTTAAATATTTGGATGAGCACAAAGGCCCGTGAGTAGCAACCACCTCTACTGAGGTTTGAAAATAAATCCCACATTTCATATACATAGAAATAAACTTTGTTAAATACATAAATACAATAAATTGTACCCCAATCCCTTTCACATAACCATGTAAACAAAATGATCTCATGATCATAATAACTTTACAAAAAAAATGACATTTATAGCTCAAAACACTCACACACACATTCAATCTCAAATACACTTGTCAAATCATGTTTGTTACCACTAGCCTGACCCCATATCTTGTCCTAACTAGCTTGATGACTGACCCCATCTTTTGTTATCACTATACTGATAACTGGCTCCTATGTGCACATCTCTATACCGACTACGCCGGTATACAATCTCGTTACCATTTAGACCTGGTAACCCAGTCCCCTTTTCATAAAACATGATTTCAACACACACTAAAACAGTTGTTTTAGTCTCAACGCACATAAAATTTTCTTTTCATCACCAAAATACATTTAAGCAATGATATAAAATCATCTCATAAGTTTTTTAAATTCGCATGTATAAGAATTCACAATTGCAACCCCAAACATCAACATATATTATATATATGAAAAATTCACACGCACACATCCGCACATTGAATATAGAAAATTCTCCCAAAAGAAGTAGTAAACTATTCACATTGATTTCCAAAATCTAATTCAAAGCACTCTTTCCCAACCTCAATGCAATCACCACCTAATCCAAAATAACATATAACAATTAATCCCTTTTTTCTAATTTCGTCGTTTCACAATTCTATATTTAATTTTATATTTCCCACTCTTTAATATATACTCAATATATATTGTACATATAAATATCCTTTATAATATGAGGTAACAGCGTATGAAACTATTCTGGACTGTTTGGAAAATTTTTTTAAAGTTCTGGGGTCAAATCATAATTTTTAAAATTTTTGGGGTCAAAGTATAATTTTTTTAAAACGAATTTTCTGTTTTCGGGCCTGCCATACATTTTTCAGAATAGTATTTAAGGTTCTAGAGATCCATTTTCCAATAATACCACCTCAATTTAATTTATTAGAGTAACTATTGATATTTAAACACTTAATCGAAATTTTTAAGGGTCGTTTCAAAATTTCAGAAATTTTTCAAGACTCGGGGGCTGTTTTGACATAATCATATTTGTTTCAAACATACTGGGCCAGTTTTATAAATTATCAAGTTTCATAGTAGTCAAAAATTGAGTTTATCAAAATCTAGGGATCAAAATAAAACTACTTAAAATTAAGGGGAGAGTTTTCATAATTTCCAAAACTTTATCTTCCTCAACCTCGATCCAGCCGTCTGTAACATTCTGGTTTCTTCCTTCTTTATTTTTCTTTTGTTTTGTTAGACATTAAATCAATTCTTTAAAGGCCTCAAAAACCATAAATCTATACTATGTAAAATCAATTCTTTAAAAATATTAAATCAATTCTTTATAACTTCCAATAAAACCTATTTATATATACCTCATTATCCTTCACCATGAACATATATATATATATAACAGTATTTCTTATCACTATTTATGGTAATTTTAATACTATATAATTGAATAACTTACAACCCTACCAATAATTAATAAATTCATACCTTTGATGAGTCCACTTTTTTTTTTCTTTTTATTCTTCCTTCTACTTTCTCTTTGGCTCTCTCTTGTTTTTTTCTCTCAGCCGTCTGCTCCTTCCAGCTCAAACACTGATAATATACGAGGCAAATAGGGCAGTCAATCTATTTATATGACACGATCATTATCTTCCTTTAATATCACTTAAGTTCCTCTAATTTCTTAAAATTTTAGTTTAATCTTAACATATTAGCCTACAACCAATTTTAAATTTCCTAAATAACTTCCTCTATTTTTATTTATTTATTAAAAAAAAATATCCAACACATACCTGTATTGGGTATTACATTGCTCGTCACTTCTCTCTCCAAAATCTTGGTATAGATGGAATTGTTGGACAATGGACGTTATTTTTTTAATCAAATTAAATTCACTTTTGTTATGTATGTTAATTTTGCCACTAAACTAAAGAAAAATAGTGGTAATGTGTATTGTAAACATATTGAAAATATCATTAGAACATGTTTCCTTGGAATTACAGTAAAAAGCTTATTCAAGAACTACTAGATGGAGGGCCTTCCAAACGGATATAGTCATACATGACTCCCTGGAAAGGGGTGGTGTCCCTTGCTTGGGTGAGATATATCGTGTTATCTTCTTGCATGAGTTGAGCACTCTGTATGTCCACACTGAATAACCAATACAACCCGTGAATGCCATGCCTTGCAATTGCATTGTCACTCCCAATTAATCCACTTGAAAAGTGAGGAGGATTTGCCTCCGGATCATTGATCCGAACCTACAAAGAGAGTTCATATTATTATTTTCAATAATCCACTAAATGTTATAATTCAATCGAGTGAAATCACAACTCAGTTGGATCATTTGAGATTGATCCCAATCTTTTGAATCGTAATTTGATGCCATTGAATCATATCTTATCTTTTTGAGTCGTAATTTGACTTAATTTTAATTGTAACTGATCCCAACTGAATAGTAACTTTTAGTATGTATTGGTACATAGTCATTTCCTAGAGTAAATAGACTAAACAAATGGTGGGACGTAGATTATCTACCACGAATTTGCTTGGGAACTACTACGTATAACTGGCTCTTCCACCACCACCATCACTACACGATGGGTGGTCTACCATTAAAGAACATTAAAAAAAACTACGCTAGATGAAATTAGATCTATTTGTCTTTGTGGGTGTGTAGGGTTAGACATTTTGCAGGCTTTTTTCTCACAAATACACACCTGCAATTCGGAGGAATTGGCAGATGCGAGTGCTAAGTGCAGTGTGTAGGTTCCAGCAGCTTGATCAATATTGTCAAGTTTGAACTTGATTCGCCATGTAGTTGCCTTATATGCATTGTCACCTATTTTCCTGCATTTACATCACCAAAATTCTAATAAAACCTACAGTCTTGAAATTTATTTTTTGATTTCATATTTGGAAATTACAATTTCATCAAATTAAGATTCAAACAAATCAAATTACTATCAAATGTGGGCGATTAGGATCGATCTCAAAGATTTGGTCTCGACTCCATTTTATTGAACCTCATTCAATCATAATTTTTATTTGATTGAATTACATTGTTTTTAGTTTTTTCGATATGGTATCAAATCTGATACCATAAAGTTTTTCGATATTCTATTGGAACAAAAGAAAGAAGATTAAAACCCATGTGAAAGTCTGCACCTGGTAACCTGAGCAAAGAACCAATCTTTACGATGATCACTCTCTCCAATTGTATAGACCAAGTCTTCATTAGGATATAGTTCTGCGTATCTTTCCCACAATCCATACTGTCTAAACCTACCCACAAAAGATGACTGATTCCTTATTATGTTGAAAAGACCCACCAATAGATAGTACAATACTATATAGAACAGAAGAGTCTTTGCCTATAACTATTTTTGCAAGGAAAACTTACTTGTCTGCTGGACGATTTATATAAAGTCTATTGATATACATTGGATCAGGATCAGGAACATAGAATTCTGCAGCAGAACGATCTGGAACGCCGATTTCCCATAATGTGGGACCATTTCTTGGAGGCTCATATACAAGATCATCCATATCAATACTACAACCTGTGTTACATTGTACGTGCATAACAGAATGTTCAAATAAAATATAAGAACTTGAAACTTTAGCAAAGGTGAATTGAATAAATATATAGGACCTGTAGTGATGGTAATAGCATCATCGTATCGATAATCTCCAATAAAACCAGGGACCCATGCATAAAGATTGTAATCGCCAGCACGAATCTTGCTAATGGAGAAATGGCCTTGGTCGTCTGCTCTGGTCCAGAATTGATAGCCCTAATATGAAAATCACAACATTATTATTATTATCTAATCAAGATGTATTATCCTTTGACTGCATGTAACATCTCAAATTTTTTTATAAAATAAATATTAAAATTGGGAGATGTATTTGTATTTTTTTTGAAAGTTGGATTATCAATTTAATTTTGCTATTAATGTAATTAGAGTTTTGACCGTATATTTGGAAATATTTTGTTGGATTATATATGATAAAGTATCTGGGAAATCGGGGGTGTTATAGAGTAGTATCACAACTTAAGCTTCAGATCTTACATGAATACTTTGGGGAATGAGTTTGCTAAGTTTCTGTTGCTAGAATGTATAAGGTGAATATGATGTCAGAATGCGTAAGAAAAATAATTAGCTTATAGTATGTGAATTTTGAGGTAAAATTCATTTTAAGAAGGGTGGATTGTAACATTCCAAGTTTTTTATAAAATAAATGTTAAAATTGGGAGATATATTTGTTTTTGAAGATTTGATTAGCAATTTAATTTTTTATTAATATAATTTGAACTATGACTGTGTATTTAGAAATATTTTGTTAGATTGATCAATTGATATATACAATAATGTATTTTCGAAATCGGGACGTTCCGCTTCAAGAACAGGATGTGCAATTTTTCTGAAACTAATGGTCTAGCATAACATGGTACTTAGAAACTTTAACCTAAAATCACCTTGCATTCTTTTTGAAATGATCCAGCAACCCCAGGCAGAGCCAACCCCACGTAAGCGCCATTTGCCGGTATAGCTTCATTGCTGTTATACCTAATCAATAACATAAACAAAAAAAAACAAAAGAAATATCTATACATTTATTACAAAAAATGAGATGAAACCACTATTTTAAGTTGAATAGATGTGATTCATTAAGGAATTGTCTATCTCTAGATACAGACTGAGATAAAACCTTAATAGCCACTTATATTGGCAATAAACTTGATCCGTGGCCATTCTTCCAAAACCAATCTTGGTAGGAAAAGGTTACGAGACAATCAGCAGTACTGTACTGAACTAAAAACTATAATTTTTTAAGGCTACATTATAATTTTTTATGAATTATAAATTATAAATTCAAAGGACATATCGATCATGGAATGCTATAATCTATATTGAGAGTTCTTGATCAATCATAGATGCTTTTGATCAATCATGACCTTCCCTTGAACAATTGTAATTTATTTTTTCAAAATTATTATTTTACCATTAAAAATAATAACCGACGATACTGATATCGAATTCTTTTTGGGTACCATAGAATTTCCTATCTTTGTACACCAAGAAATATAAGTGAATTTTCCCCTTGTTGATAATCAATCCCATGTTAACAAGAAAGACACATTCCTTTCAAATCAATACACACACTCGAAAGATTAAGGTGTTAAAGATCACCTGTCGAGGACTGATAATCTACCTCTAATGGTACCCCTTTGATCAGCATGTGGAAAATCTTCTGAAGCTGGAAAACTGTATGGCCAACTTTGAACTTCTTTCCTCATCTAAATACCAATGGATGAAAAATGATTATCAATCGAAAAGTATATCTTGTGTTATATGTGTTTGGTGGAAAAAAGTTATGCATTTTCATTATTTCATTTTCAAACCTGTTCTTTGGCGTTGTCCCAAAGTGAAAGTGCGTCATTTTGATCCGAGACAGAATTAAGATAGATAAAAACTGGGCCAAAAACTTTCTTCCATGGCTCGCCTGATCCAAATTTGATCACCACATCCTCTCCCCCATAATGAGCGCTTACAAACATCTGAGAGTATCAAATTGATTGATATTGGTTAGATTAGTAGCATCGTACGGAGTAATCGATACCTATTTGAGGCACAATTTATCATACTTACGACAATTAGCTTCTATTTGGACAGTTCAACTTGCAACTAATCCCAAATACTTACTACTCAGTTGGATTTGGACAAAAAAATCTACACCCAATTCAAATACAAATATTATTCAGATTAGAGTCTCGGGTTTTCTGATACCAAATTAATTGAATTTCGACCCAAATTTCACCTCCAGTTGTGTAATATGGAATTTCAACTCGAGATGAAAAATTTCGAATTCAATTGGGTAAACTTCTAATCCGGATAATCCATCCGAGTTTGACACCCATTAGCAACCCAAATGTTGAAATATTTCTCCTGATAAAAAAAATGTAGTAGTATTAAGGATGGTTATTTGTCACCTACAGCTAGAGTTGTTGGGTTCACATGGGAGGTTAGGTCTTGCTTGAGAGGGCCACCAGTCCTGAACTCATTGCTGGGTGTGATTTGCCAGAACCCTGCGGGTGGGTCAAAGCATATAAACCCGTGGACCTGGTTATCTTTGTTCTCACACGAATACTGATACTTGTCATCCACCTGCCCATCAAGAAATCAATGGTAAACACAATTAAATACTATCGTTCAATTGCCAAGACATTACAGTGCAACTTAGGAGAAGATTTTTTAGTGTAAAGTCGGGTAAGGGTGGTGGGTCCATCCGAACTTCACCCGTTCTATCCGAAATACTCAGTATTTGAACAAATATTTACAATACTATACTTAATTCATCTCGAATTGAGATATTGTTTAGGTTCAGGTTTTGAGTTTTGAAGATCCATCCAAACTTGATCTGTAGCTTGAGAATCAAATTCGATTTAACCTGAATTAAACTAGAATTGAACTCAAATAACCTGTTTGATTTGTTTAACTTGAGAATCAAACTAGATTTTAACCCATTTTCAAACTGAATTTAGCTTGCTTAGTGTAACTCAAGTAAATAATTTAGACATACACAATACACTTGGTTGTACTTGGGTTAATTTCTCAATCTATCCCACCACAAAAGATTTGTTTTTTTTTTTTTTTTATTCAACAGTCAAGAGTGTTTGAACTAGATTTGTCTTCAACTAACCCTTTTTCCGATCTAGTCAAAGATTTATCTTTTGAAAAATAGAGTGGAAGGCATACTTCTCCTTTAAATTCTGGCTCCACAGGATCCACAAGTAGGACTGCTTCCGGGTAGGCCAGTTGTTGGCTTCTTGAGGGTGATCGATCTTCTAGGAGGGGCATGCTTCTTCTCTTATCGTCAGCTATGGCCATGTAATGAAACCTAACATGCAGATCAAACCAACAAAACATGCCTTACGGTTATCCATTACACACATATTTAGAATTTTTCTATGCTATTTCTTTTTGGACCTCATTAATTAGTAACTTGACCTACTTAAAAACATTTTGTCGTAGATTTGTTCAGTAAGTGATAATGTGCATACTTGTCCATGCTGAGCATGAAAGCTATCCTGGTTTCGTTGAGGTTGAAAGCAGGCATGTCCTCTACATGTTCGTATATGGCATACGAGTAAAACCCCGAGCAACCACGAAGCATTATGAACCTAAACCATCATCATCATCATAAATCAACATCAACCATGTAAAAAATCCTGATCACTTCATGAAATAGTTACTTATGTATGTGTAATCAGATGTGCATGTATGTGTATGTGAGATTAAGGGAAGGACCTTTTGTCTATATTTAAGGGAGAGTGCTTGCTGGTAGGTGAGGAATGGGGATCCCATGTTCTTGCAAATGAGAGCTCTACCTGTTCATCGTTTTCCACTATAACCTTGAAAATTGTTCCTTCAATCCTGCACACATTGAATAATTCTCATCATAACTTGGCATTAAGAAGATGCACCCACTTTCAATCCAATAACTGTAATTGTTTAGATCTCAAAATTAGGTGTAAAATAATATTTTCTATCCCAAAATTGATTGTGGGTTAGATTTTGAAGGAAATCTCTTAGGTGTCATTATATTTTGGGTAAATTATGTTTATACTCTCTAAATTATAATTTTTTTTCACTTTATTTCTTTAACTATTAAATTTTTCACATTATCCTATCAACTAACAAATTGCCTCAATTATTAATCCCTGTTATATATTTAACAGAAAATTATTTTATTTTACCCACTGAATTATGTAAAATTTTTTACTTTACCCCGAACAAAGATTTACAGATGTTTGTAATTGGCACAATATGAAACAAAATTGTTAGTTTAGGATGCAATGTGAGAAATCTAGTAATTGAGTGGACAAAAATTTAAAAAGTGATAGTTTTGAGGGTGTAAGTATAATTTACCCTTATATTTTTGGGCAAATTGAAAAATCAAAGAACGATGTTGTAAAGACTTAATTTGAGTACTTAATTTATTGTTATCATTAGATTAGTTATTAGGAACAAATAATATTATTTAAAATCGAATAATTCCAAGTAAAATGACACAAGTTTTCATCCAATTTGTGAGGGATGTCTGTAATATGATATCATGAAACTAATAAATGTGATTTGAGGTGTATGGGAAACAACATGAAAGTTGAGCTCGGTCGAGTTGAAGGGATTAAAGTGTAATTTTTTCTTAGGCATGTTCACTTAACGGGATTAGTAAACTAAAGAAGTGGTTATTAAAGCAAAGAGTACATACGTATCAAAAGCTCCTCTTGTTCCTGGACTTCCTGCCTCGCTCCAGTTAAGATCCCAGACCCTGCAAATTACAATACAAAAGAGCTAAGAGACTAGATTGATCAATTGAGAGAGAGAGAGAGAGAGAAGGGAGATATGGAAGATGTGGGAAATGCTATGTACCCTCCAATAATATTGATTGGACTACGAAGTTCAAGCAAGTTGTCGATTCCATTGTATTGAATTCCTGTGACATTTCCTCCTGGATTTGTTAATGTGAGTTGGAGTATGCCATTATCAATCACCACCTGCACACAAACATGTCTCATCTTGAATGGATTGTATTGTATGTAAATCATCCCAACATTTGTTCAACTTATATTCGACCCATTAATAATTATATATATAGCTAAATTCGAGTTGATCTATATATTGAAAGTCTAACGATTTTACACTTTTATTTTCAAAATCCGCTAAGATTAAATCCAAATTTACTAATTTCGTATGGAGTTGATGGATCATGCTTAAGATTAGCGCGTGCGCGCGCGCACACACACACATATATATATACACACACACAAAGTCTACCCTGATTTTAAACCTAAAAAAGGATAATTTTATAATTAAAATATCACAATGTACATAAATATATGTATGTATAGACATAAGTGCTTTACCTGATCATCTTGAATATGCAGCTGCACCACGGTAGTAGACATCTATCCAAGTGCCTATGGCTTGTTAGTTCTTTGGAAGCAGAGAAAACCTCACAGCAGCTTCAAATTCCTTGATGCCAAACAACAATAATAACTGTCCAAACTATCGATGCTTTGGAGAAGAAACCACTCTTCAAACTTCTCTCCAAATTGAATGGAGTTTAGAGGAACATCATAGGTTTATTAATAGATTTTTTGGTTCCTATCATCATATCCTAACCTTAACCACGTAGATACTTATAGATGTCTTAAATCTTATCATTATATCCTAATAATTATTTCTATTATATTTCATTTTGGTTCCTTAAAATAGACATAAAAGGGTATCCTTTTCCTGATCTCTTTGCGTAGACGCCACCAGGCCCACCATTGTCTTGAAAAAATTAGAAACACACGCCAGACTTACCTTGTAAGAAATGGCAAAACCGAGCAATACAAATCATGTACAACCAGTGCATGAAATATCTCTTTTGGGTTAAATCACAAGACATTTATCTCTTATAAATTTTTAATTTCAACGTAGATAACTCATCTTTGATTGAATTGGGGAAAAGATTAATCGAGATGCACACAAGTTTAAGCAAGACACCTTTAACCGCAATACCCAAAAAAAAAAAAAAAAAAAAGAAATACACATTGTTTGTAATTTTGTGCCTAAAAATGACAATAAATTGAAACGTAATTTTAACTAAGGTAAAAATATATTGGTGGTCCACAAAGTAATTTTTTTGCAAGATGCAATTTTTTGTGAAGGAGTAGATTGGATGAAATGACATGGAGTCATCCGTTACATTGTATACAGTGGCTTGGAACCACCTGTTATCAGCATCACAAAATCCTAGGGGGTGTTTGGATTGAGGGATAAAAGGGATAACACAAGTTGGATTGGATAAAAAAAAGTGGGCTCCATTTATCCTTGGATCACAAAACTTTTGGGGGCTGGACAATCGTTGGGCTCAAATACGCGGCCCGTAGTTATTGGGGTGATTTGTCTCTCAATCAAGTGGATTAAGAAATCCCACCAAAACTTTGGGGTTAAGCAGCAGTCGAAAGGATACACATGTGCATTTACCATTACACCCTTGTAAAGCAAAATAGGGTTTGTTTATATTCTCTTCCCCCATTTTCATTGGTCCCCTGCTTCGAACAACGCCAAATCTTCTCCATTGCCAATGTATTCTCTCTCTCTCTCTCTCTGTAATTGGAGTGGACAAAGCAAGGTATTCTCTCTCTCTCTACATTGATTTATATATATATCGGTTGAGAGAAGTTGGTCTACGTCGGTGTATCGATTTGTGTCCTCTTGTGGGTTCATTTGCTGGGTGTTGTTCTCTGTCCCTGTAGCTCTGTGTCTGTGTAGCTTTGTATGGGTGTATTATATGTTGGGTATTTTTTGGGATAAGTATGCTTTTTGTTCATGTGCATTTGCCTTGTGCATTAAATTCAAGCACCCCGCAACATTTCAGACATTAGCCATGGAGAAAGTCTGGGCTTCTGAATTTCATTGATGGGCTTTGGTCAGCTTGTAGAGGAGAGAGACTCGTCGTCTTTACAACAAATTATGTGGACAAACTCGATTCGGCGCTCATTCAGAGGGGAAGAATGGAAAAACACATTGAATTATCCTACTTTAGCTTTGAAGCATTCAAGGTTCTGCAAAGAATTATCTTAATCTTGAGACCCACCATCTGTTTGTGAAAATTCGTGAGCTGTTAGAGGAAATTAATATGTACCTTGCGGATGTTGCAAAAAATTTGATGCTCAAGACTGTTCCTGGGGATGCAGAGACTTGCTTGGAGAGTTTGATCGGAGCTCGAGAGGGCCAAAGAGGAAGCAAGGCTGAAGACTGAGGAAGAAGCTAAAGCCAAAGAATCATCAACTAATGAAACCATAGAGGGAGAGAAAGATGGAGAGAAAGGAAAGAACTTATGAAGAACAAACAGAGTAAGAAACAATCAATTGGAAAAGCAAATGAGAGCAATCCATCATATGAAAAGGACTTAGAAGGAGGAGCTGGAGATGGGTCCATCAAGATAAGCAAAATTGAAAATTTGGTGGGATCAAATATTCTTGATTTTTTTTTAACTTTTTTATATTTTTGGTAGATCAAATAATTTTGTGACCACCTTCTTAAAATGTTTTCTAAGTGAAATGTGTAAAAGTTGAAAATTTACTATCCATAATTACTCTTACATTTTCACTTAAATATTAAAGTGGTAATCAACCATTCGTAAGCCAAAAATGACATAGGATTGAATAGGATTTAAGGGTAAAATTGTCAATTAATGTCAAAATTATGAAATATTTTTGAAAAAATTGTAGTTTATCCATGGTCCCACCACATTAAAAATTACTAACCAACTCAAGGATTGGATTAACCAATTTGCTTTTATACCATTATAAATTCTGAATTATTGGGATTTCACTAATTTGGAATTTAAATCCAACTCAATCCAATTCATCATTGATTTGCCAAACACCCCCTAGCTATATACTTGAAATGCAAACCCGTTTAAGATTTTAAGGTTAGTCCATTTAATTTTATAACACAAAAAGTAATGTCAAAATTATAATTGTTGAATAATTGTCACGTGCTTTGTCACCTGATTTTTGGTGGATTTGGTGATAATGAGGGTTTGAACGGTTTGTTTCTCGATCTTTAATTTAGTGTTGACTTTGGTGGATTGGGTGAAAACAAGGGTTTGACGAACGTATCCCTTAATCTTTCACTTGGTGATGCTTTGATAGATTTTTTTTGAAGACGAGAGTCGAATTAACGTAATTCTCGTTCTTCGATCTTTGATTTGGTAGATTTGTTGAAGGCGATGGTAAAATTGACATAAATCTCGTTCTTTGTTCTTTAACTTGATTTTGTCGAATCTTTTCACCGTTCTTTGTGTTGAATGACTTGAAGATGATTTAGATTTCTTGAAAAATGACATTGTTGATGTTTCTTCTCTTTAGAGATGGATTTGCAAGACATCAGTTGGGAATAAACTCTGACAGAGCTTTGTAGTTGATCTGTAACGCCCCGATTTTTCTCTTCTTTTTGGAGACGTTAATTGATATAAAAACATCCAAATAAAAATAAGAGAGCGCTAATTGTCCCAATAAAATTTTATTTATCAAAATCATCTCCCAATACAAATAAACCTGTCACCATAAATAAATCTCTCAATACGAATAAAACATCAGTTATGTCGACATCTCATCGTTTTTAATATTTTGATTATCTCGTTTCGATATTTTCTCTAAATCAACCTAAAAATATTAAATAAAGAGGGAAGTATAAAATATGACGAGAAAAAATATGTTCAAGGACATTAAATACCGAATAATTGAATATCACAAAGTATCTCAATCAACAGATACAAATATCATATTTGCATATCACACGTCATGCAGGATCTTAACACAGATCTAACACTTCACCAATCATCCCACCTCAACCTGATCTCACGGGTCTCTTGGCTGGCAATGCATCGGCTATTAGCTGCCACGATCTTGTCTCAATATCCGCAGAACACAATCAATGAGATTAAGAATACGATCAATAAGATCAAAATATTCAACGACATTCGATCAAAATTCTAAAATATAATGATAGCACAAGTTGAGATACAAATCAGAGGATAATCAAATAAATATTCTTTACAAAGAAATTTAAGGCGAGCATATTATATACCATCCCATACCTCGAAATAATCATTTAAATTCGATAACTCTGATTTCTATTTCATTCTTCTGCTTCCTCTCGGTTTGAACTAAAAACACCCATTTGTTTTCTCTTTCCCTTTCTTCTTCCTTGTTCTCGGCTCAACTGGACACCCTTCAATGCTTGCTGAATTTCCTTGATTTTTATTCTTTCTCTCTCTTACTTTGTCTTTACTTTGTCTTGTCTCTTCTTTTTTTTTGTCAAAATCTTCACGTGGGCGAAGACCAAAGCATCATAAAGTTAAAATATTTATATTTTATTCTCTTTTATTTCACTCATTATATATATCAACCATAAAACTTAAATATTCTTTATACTTTCACATCAAAACTCCTAATATTTTATACTTAAATTACTTCTAAAAATTCGGATCTCACAATCTACCCTCCTGAAAAGAATTTCGTCTCTGAAATTCCTTAAATTATTATTTTTTTTTTTCTACATCCGTCACAAGTTAAACATATATGTAATATGTTTACAAATAAGGAGACCTTCATGTAATTATCCAAAAGCTGGAAGCAAATTAGTTCACCAAGAATTCCAAAATTTGTTGGCGTGCAAAGTGTAACACGAGAAAGAAAAAGAATATAAAGTGTTTATTGTTCAAAAGAAAGGGGTGTTATTGAATTTTTTTTCAATAAAGGTGTAATTACACTAATTTTCTCTCAATTCATTGCATCTAAAGTCTCTGCTATAATACCGCAACAATTCCACTATCTTTTCCAAGCGTTCAAATTTTCTAGTTGTGAGCTCACTTCCCACAAATCACAAATCTCATATAAGATCTAAAGCCTAAGCTTTGATACCATTTGTAATATCTCGATTTTTCTCTTCTTTTCAGAGACGTAATTGATATAAAAACACCCAAATAAAAATAACAGAACGTTAATTGTCCTACTATCAAAATCATCTCCCAATACAAATAAATCTGTCACTATAAATTAATCTCTCAATATGAATAAAACATCAATTATGTCGACATCCCCTCGTCTTTAATACTTGGATTATCTCGTTTCGATATTTTCTTTAAAATCAATCTGAAAATATTAAAAAAAAAGTAGGGAAGTATACAATATGACGAAGAAAAGTATGCTCAAGGACATTGAATACCAAATAATCGAGTATCACAAAATATCTCAATCAACAAATACAAATATCATATTTACATATCACACGTCATGCACAATCTTAACACGGATTTGATATCTCATCTCTTTACTCTCCCGTTGCTACAACACAAGACATAGGGCAGGGCGAGATAGAAATGCTATGATGGGATAAGATGCAA